AAAATGCAAGGTACTTGTGATTTTTCCTGTCTTATTTTCCTTAAAAATAGAGCACAAATAATATTCACACTCTTGCTCACAAGCTGAAGAAAGCAAGGTTGTCTGAAAACACAGTGACTTTAACTGTATTGTTCTGTTGGAATTTCATTAGTTATGCCCTGATAACCAGACAGCAGGGGCAGAGAGAGCAGACCACATTGTCATTCAGTTCAGACACTGGCATGTTTGACTTCATCTCACAGGAGAATCAAATGTAGCTGGACTTCGCTTCTCTTTACCAGCCTCAGGGGTTCTCTTTACCAGCCTCTTTCTTTTGTGAGCCACACAAATCTGCTTTCATCCTAGTTTGCCCTTGGTGATCTAAAGCTAAAGCTATCAAGACTGAAACAGACATCCCTTTCCCTTCCACCCACTCTTCTTTCTGGGTCTGATTCTCACTGCTTTATTCCTTGTTTTATCATCAGTATCTGAAACCAGCGATCAGGGCCTCTTCCCCGTTCTCCTTTTCCCTCCCAAATAGCTCCTTTGTTCCCCCACTCCTTTTCCATCACTGCTCCCTTAGTCCAGGTTCTTAACTTTTGCTAAACTAGTGGCTTCCAGTTTCTACTTGCACTCCCCACTCCAGTCTTCTGCCAAAAGGACCTAAAATGTGAAATTAATCATCTAATTCTTGCTTTCTGTTCACTGTTTGGAAATACCCTTGTGATTGAATTTAAGCTCCTCAGCATATACATAAGATCTTTTATAATCTAGGTTCTTTTTTCCTTTTAACTTTATCTTTGCTTTTCTTCCTACCCCATTCCTACTCTCTCTACTCTTTATGCACATTTAATATGAAATTTACTTTTAAAAAATGCCATGTGGGGACGTCTCTCCATGCTTTTATACGCTCCTTCCTCTGCCTAGAATACTTTTTACCTCTCTGATCGGTCAACTGCTAGTCATCCTTCAAGACCCTGGTAAATGTTGCTTCTGTTGGGAAGATTTTCTTAGTTTCTTCTGCCCCCAACCTCCTGACCGAGTGCGAGGAGCCCCGCACTCTTCCCTGCCGCGGCTCTGTGGCGCGCTGCTGTCCAGCACGGCAGCTCCTAGCCACATGTGGCTGTTGAAATGTCAGTTAGTTAAAATAAAATAAGAATAAAGAAAATAAGAAAATTAATAAAATAAAAATGCACTAGCTACTTTCAAGTCCTCTTGAGTCCTCTGGCTAGGGATTGCTACTGTATTGGATGGCACAGGTAAAGAACTTCGCCATCACAGAAATGCTGTTAGACAGCTCTGCATAGGGTTAACCCCACCTTTCTCTGTATTGTCTCTTCCAGTGATACTTCTATCATATTACTTACTTATTTACATGACTATTTCCCTATTAGACAGTGAAAAGACTGGAGGACAGACATATACTTTCATCATCTCTATGTATCTGGTTTTGAGTTCAGGATTTAGCACCTTATAGATGTTCAATAAAAGTTTGAGTTGAATTGATTCAGTGAATTTTAGAAGGGAGAATTGCCTCAACTCAAAGACTTCTAATGGTGCAGTAGTCACATGGCGGCATGTTGTGTGTGTGTGTGTGTGTGTGTGTGTGTATGTGTGTGTGTGTATACACTGTATTTCCTCATATCCCATATTTTGCCATGAATAATGTGTACCCTTTTCCCCAAATTTTTGAGGGAAAATTAAGGATGCACATTATACATGGGTAGTACTAATTCCATTTCTACATAAATGTTTTAAATTCTTTTATTTATGCTTATGTGTTGAAAGTATAACTCTAGAAAGCAACAATGATATCCATATGCAAAATAATACCCTGGAATATGATCAGTCTTGTTTCTAAATATAAATTAAAAATTGTGTTAAAAAATTAATATGAGAGATTCTTTTTCCTGAAAGTTTGTGCCAAAAATGTGGGTGCACATTATACACGGCAAAATACAGTATGTCTGTAAAGAAGAACTTTCTTAACCTTTCTCCCTTTTCCACTTTCTCTTTCATCCCCTCCCCCAACTTGAGTATAATTTTAGACATGAAATTTTAAAAATTCACCATTCATTGTGTTATAATAAATTACTATCATTATTATTCCCATACTTAAATTATCCCATATTTGGCTAGTGGGAGCTCCTTTAAATTGGCTGTGTGTCCTTTTGTATAAATTAATTTGTTTTCTCATACTTTCTTGCTTTCTGAGACCACAAGGTACTCCAGATTTGCCTTGTATTTTCTCTGTCCTAGATCTGGGTTCAGCCATTTCTATAGGTAGCTCCTGTACCTTTTAACAGAGAATGGTATTTAGAAACCAAGACCTGGCTGCAAGAGGTGATCATTGCTACTGCAATATTATTGCTTCTAGGTTTTTCCAGTGGACAGAGTGAGATGTGTTTTTTTGAAAGTCATCAATTTATACAGACACCTCGAGCTCACATTTCAGTGTCACAGAGATCTCCTTTATTTCCCCCATTTTACATTTGTATCTCTCTTCTCCCAGAGCAAAAACCTTGCTTTCCAACATTATCAGCATCTTTATTCATTAGCTCTATCCTTCAGTATCGTTCGGTTGGTATTTCACCAATATTGCAACTCTAGTAAGTCTAAGTGAACTTCAGAATTTCTTTGCAATTATTTTTGTCATTAGAATACATTTCATTAAAAATATACCCTCGGAGTACTGTGCTTGAATGTTACTTGAATCCTTTTTTTAAAAAAATATATAATCAGGATCATTTATTTCTATTTTATTCAGTTTGAAAGTTTGCTTTTTCATCCTTTCTGAAGTCTCATTCCCATTTCTATCCCATCTACCCCATTCCCACTGGTCCTCTATAGGATGAGAGACTTTTAATATAGGCTTGACGTCTAAGCCATTTAAGTGCTTTCTTTAAACTAAAAATGAAGATCAATAAATAATGACTATTTTTAATAATGCTCTTTGCCTTATGTTTGATATTGTTTCTACACCAGGTTTCTTTTGCTTGCTGGTTTTTAGTTTGCCTGATTATCCTTTTCTATCCCCTTTAAACTTCAGCCTGTGTGTAATTATATTTTAAGTAATATATTATTTATGCAATTTGAGAATCTGATTTTCATCTAGGCAATTTTGGGATTACTTACATGTTTGAATTGTTTTCTGCTATCTTATTTCTGGCTTCTTTCCTTCTCCAGCTCTTTTTTTTTTTTGTCTTTTATTGTGTTATTTTTACCTCATTTTCTTTATTTCTAATTATTTGGAATTGATACATTCTCTATCTCTTCTTTTAACGGTCGTCCTTGTTATGCTGTTTAGTTTGTGTTGAGTATTCAAATAAACCTATACCTCTTTTTCACATGAACTACCAAAACATGTTTGTTGAATTCTGTGTTTTCACACATAACATTTTTTAACTGAAGCAAAGGACTCTTTATTTTTTTCAAGTTTTATAGTCTTAGTTTAAGTAGTAAGGGTCTCAGTCATGCTGTGAGAAGGAAGGTTGACAGAAAATTGGACTCACTACCACCTTTCTTTATAACCTCCCAGCTCTCCCCAGGAATTTAAGTACTATTAAGGCCAGGAATATTATTTTGATTACTGTTCCATCTATTGGGTTGGCCAAAACGTTCATTTGGTTTTTTCCATAAGATGGCTCTAGCAGCACCTAGTTGTCTTTAACTTCATTCATAAAAATTTTGTTAGATTGTATTGTGACAGCTGTCATATTAGCATGCATTTAAAAAGACTCCTCAAAATTGGCGAAATTTTGTGTAGCCATTTTAATGTTGAAGATGGAAGAAAATAAGCAACATTTTCGGCATATTATGCTTTATTATTTCAAGAAAGGTTAAAACTCAACTGAAGCACAAAAAAAGAAAGATTTGTGCAGTGGAGAAGGTGCTGTGACTGATTGAACATGTCAAATGGTTTGTGAAGTTTCATGCTGGAGATTTCTCATCAGGCGATGCTCCACAGTTGGTGGACCAGCTGAAATTAATAGCGATCAAATCAAGACATTAACTGAGAACAACCAACGTTCTACCATGTGGGAGACAGCCAACATACTCAAAATATCCAAATCAATAAAGATATTGGTGAAAATGAAAAACATGTCCTTTGTTTTACAGAAAACACTAAATGAAATTTTCGGCCACCCCAATATTATGCCTAGAAAATTGTCTATGCCTTTGCTAGTTCTCAAGAGATATATTAGTTGAATGAATAAAGTAGAAGTTTGTAGTCTGGAGAAGAGTGGATGAGGTAGTAGTGGGATGAAGGACAGGAGACATTTTGGAACTTCTCAGTTGGAAGGACTTGCATGCTGAACAGAAACTCTGCGTGTTTATTATGGCCCTGAGGACCGAAGTCAGCACTACAAGAGGGATGCAGAGACCTGTCTGCTCTCAGGGTACGGAGGGGTAGTCAGTGGCTTCATTATATTGTCAGGTCCCAGTTATTCCAGGGAGTTTATTAGAGATAACCTGGAAGGGATTAAATAGTTCTCAATTATTCTGAGATTCTGTGCTAAGTAGATGGGATACATGGCCATCCTTAATTTATGGCCAGATTTAGGCACCCGCTTCAATTGGGTTTTTCAATTTAGACCTGTCCAGTGACCTTAACGCCACTAGGAAAGTGATCATTCAACAGCACAACACTTTAGGTGGCCATTCACAGCAATCACTCGCTCTGTGTGCCCTGCTAGTAACCCTAAATGTCCTAGGGCTTTCAGTTTTCTGTTCGGGCAAATTACCAAGTCAGTAAGTAGGTGGATCAGTTCTATGATTTGCATATTTTGTCTTTTGCATAAGTTAACAGTAAAAGGGAGCATTCATATTTTCTCTGAATTTTGTTTCTGAGTTTTCTTTTCATTTGATTATAGAATTACCTTAAAGCAGTTTGATTCAGATATTTAGTGGGAGCGATATACAAATTGGGAAAAGGGGAATGTAGTTGTACTAGAACCTGAAAATCTAAATCAGTGCCTTGAAGGATGCTTATAATAAAAACTCTCTTCTCTTTCTCTTAGGGCTGCTGCTCAGAGTAAATTAGGTCACTACACAGATGCAATAAAGGATTGTGAAAAAGCAATAGCGATTGATTCAAAGTACAGCAAGGCCTATGGGAGAATGGGGTAAGTTCTGGGAGAATGTTCGAAGTAGTACCACGTTGTATCAGATAGTCAGTGCTTAATGGCTTGGTTTTGAATTTCCTGCTTGATATAGCATCCTCTCAACTAAGAAGAAAATAAACATAACACTGAGGGAGGAAATGATTGCAGTTTCTGCAACTTGGGAGAGAGATGATTAGTTGTATGGTGAATAGTTGTTGGAGAACAACTATAACCATGAGTACACTCACTTCATATTCAAGACCACAAATCTCATGAGTACTCAGTATTTTGGCAGACAGCCCCACTATATACTTTCTTCTAAACTCACCTTACCACTCTCTGAATTTATTGCTTCAGACCTACTTTTCAAATTTCCTTTAAGCCCTCCATGGTGACTCTCAGCTGATGATACTGCCTTCTTATTGAGAAAATACTGATAGGTGCACTTAGAAGAAAAGTAATTCATTTTCCTACTGCTAAATCCATCTACCTGCATTTGTGTCAATTCAGACTGCCTTTTTCTTGTTAAAATAGAAGGGTTCTTATCTATTTTAACAAGAAAACTAGAAGGGTTAAAATAGAAGGGTTCTTATCTAAGACTGTTGCCTTCATTCATGCTTTAGATCTCACCTCTTTGTGTCTTTTCAGAGACTTTACACTTGTAATCATCTGCTTTATCTTCTGCAACCCGTTTTCCTGTCCCTAACCGTGATAATGACTTCATATGAAAAGGTCACAGAATCAACCATTGGAACCATCCTTGCACACAGCTGTGTCATTTCTTAGTTCCTTTCTCTACGAAGCCCTTGATAGCAATCCGTACTTCCTGTCTCATCTTCATCATCTCTCATTCTCCCATCGGCTCATTCTGATAGGGCAGTTTGTCCATATCACACCACTGAGAGCTCTACTCAAGGTCACCAGTTGTCTATATTTTGCTAAGGCCGAAGGTCAGTCATGTATCCTCACCCTACCTATCTTTTAGCATTTAGCATAATTAACTTATTTTTGAAATAACTTCATACTCTACGCTTCTGTGATACTCCACTTCTTGGTTTCCCTTCTATTATCCTGGATGCCCTTTCCCAGTCTCCCTTACTGGTTCTTCCTTCTCTACCACCTCTAAGTAATGGTACACTCAGGGCTTTCTCCTTTCCTCTGCTGCTGCTGTCTGTCTATTCTCTGATTCCATCCTGTCCTATGCTTCTAAATTCCACTTCCAGTCAGTACTTGTTATTCATGGAGTCTGTATTTATGAATTCACGTACTTGCTAAAATTTTTTGTAACCCCCAAATCAGTAGTCACTGTGCTTTTGTGTTCATTCAGTATCGTGAAAAATTTGAGTGACATGACGTGCAAGACCTCAATTGAGGATGGGTAAGGCGACGCTCTGCCTTTTTGTTTCAGCTCTCATGCTGTGAACAAGTATCCTTTTTGCATTTTATTTAATCCTATATTTTTTGCCTTTTTGTTGTTGATTTCCCTGTTTACAATGGTCCCAAGCATAGGCTGAAGTGCTGTCTAGTGCTCCTAAGTGCAAGAAGGCTGTGATGTGCCTTACGAAAAAAAAAACACACGTAAGGTAAGCTTTATTCAGGAATGAGTTAGTGCTCATTCAATCAATAATATATAGTAAATAAGTTTCTTTAAGTAGAAACACATAAAACAAGATTATGTATTGATCAGTTAGTTGATGAGAATGTTGTGACCAAAGAGCCTCACAGGAACCTAACCCTGTTTTTCCCCCAGAAGCAATTGTTCAGCGTTTGCTAAATCAGTGTTTGTGGTGACTTTATAGAACGTAACTACTCTCAATAATGAGAATCAACTCAATATCTTGATGGATTTCTTAAGTTATGATATGTCTTAAGTTATATGTCTGAATTCTATTATCATATTCAACTTTTCATCTCCATTTATATGTTTAATAGGCATTTTAAATTTAACGTGCCCCACGCAGAACTCTCATTTCCTTCTTAACTCTTTCCCATCTCAGTAAATGTTACCATCATTTACTCACCAGTGCTGGGGTCAAAAGCCTAGGAGCGTCCTTCATTCTTACTATACCTGACAGTCAACCGTAACGATAGATTAGGTTGACGCCTCATCTATCAGCAAGTCCTGTTAATTCGAGTTTCCACATACATATATCATGAATTCAAGTATTGATTGCCATCTTGTTTATAACGCTGCTCCAAATGACCATCTCTTACCTAGGCTACTGCAGTGGCTTCCTAACTGGTCTCTCTGCCTCCATCCCAACTCTGCAGAGACGCCAGAGAGAGCTTTCTAGAGGATAAATCAGATCATGTCACTCTGTTGCAACCAGAATAAAATCCAGACTCCAAACCATGGTTCTATCTTGTCTGGCACCTGATTACTCTCTGACCTCATCTCGCTCCACACTGCTTTCTGTGCTCCCTCCTCCTCCACCTTTGTCCTGTTCCTTAAGCACACCAGGCAGGCATCATTCCCAGGGCCTTTGTGTTTACTGCTGCTTCTGTTTAGCACGCTCCTCCCCTGGTCTTCAGATGACTGCTTTCTTCTCATCATTTAGGTCCTGTCAATGTGGCTGCCTTTGAGCAGCACCCCTATTCATTCTCTTTAATATTACTCTTTTTTATTTGCCTATTTATTGTTTGTCTTCCCCAGGTAGAAATTTTCTTAAAATCAAGAACTTTACCTTTTTTCACTGTAGAATCTAAAATAGTGCCCGGTTAATATTTATTGACGATTGATTATTTGAGGACTTTGATGAAGTATCTTTCACGGTTGACTGTTAGAAAACTAGTTGGGGTCTGAGAATTTTTCCGTGGTTAGGCACTATATTTTATCTAGGTCAGAAGTCTGTGAGGTAAGTCAGCCAAGACTTAATTATTAAAAATGACAAAACAAATAAAAACCTCAATGCTATCTCTCCGTATATGCCATTTTTGTTTAGTTCTGAAGTAATTTTCCAAGAAATAAATTCTAACCAGGTGGTAGAAAACAAAAATTTAATAACTAACTCTGTTACTGGGGTAATAATGTCTTAAATTGTAAAAGATGCCAATTTAATCTATTTAACAACTAACATGTCTTATTCAGGAGTATTCCACAGTCTGTTTTTATTTTTCATGGCAAATTAATATTTATTGTGACTCATTGTCTCTGCTAGGAAGTAGGAAGAAAGTATGACATTCTGAAGCACAAATTTAGTTCGGAGTCCTTAAAATTATGTTAACATCATCAAGTTAAATGGCCACAGAGCTGTTAGTCAGCTCACATCTTTGTGGAGCTTAGTCATTTATAAAGCAAATTATTTCACATATTAGGATTAAAAATGGGAGGGTGGGCTAAGGTTCATTTCTAAGCATTAGGTTCATGGTTAATACAGGACAGCGAAGGTTGTTAGCAAACAGAAGATAGAGACTCCAGACTTATGGAATCTTGGAATTAGAAGGAATTTTAGTGATACTCCTGTGAACCATAGTATAATGAATGAAGTATAACCTGGATTCTAACTGAATACCAAGACAGATGTTTGGGTACATTTTTGATATCCTGATATTCGTTAATCGTGTATCTATACTCTTGTACTTTATTATTTTCAGGCTAGCTCTCACTGCCATGAATAAATTTGAAGAAGCAGTTACAAGTTATCAAAAGGCATTAGATCTTGACCCTGAAAATGATTCCTATAAATCGAATCTGAAAATAGCAGAACAGAAGTTAAGAGAGGTATCCAGTCCTGTAAGTTACTAATGCCGAATGAGTGAAATGTTTTCTGTCATTCACAACTTATTGTAATCAGATCCTAGTGGTTAGAATAATTCTCAGATATAATTGTTTTACAGACAGGAACTGGACTGAGCTTTGACATGGCCAGCTTAATAAATAATCCAGCCTTCATTAGTATGGTGAGTATATTCCCTTTTTGGCTCTGCTGGCTCTGTTTTCCATAAAGCAATATACCGGGGTCCAGCAGAAGTAACGCCTGCTTGAGTGTGGTTGATAGGATAATAATACAGGTGTAATAATTTGTAGTTTTAATTTGAACATTTCACCTAAAATGTCATATGGTGTGTTTGAGTAGGTAGTTATGTTACAGAATTACATGCTTATGATTTTGTAATAAAAGATTGTAATACAAGAGGGGCGTTATTTGTGCCAGACCCTGTAGTTCTAAAACATTTTATAAATAAGGGAGCTTTTGTGGTGGTGGTAGCAATAGAGTGGTGATGTAATGCTATGGCTGAGATTTTTAACCTGCCTCTATACCTGTTTGTGAGAAAGCCATGGATAGACTTTAGGAAGCCAATGGATTCCTTGAAATTGTACACAAAAATTCATGTACATATGGATATGTGCATTTTTCTAGGGAGTGAACCATATTTTTCATCAGACTGGCAAAGAAGTCTGCAGCTCTACAGAAGGTTAAAAACCACTCTCTTACATGAAAATGGCCCTAGGAAGATATCTAAGACCTGAGGTCTGATAATTTGGGTTAATTGCAGTTTCCTAAGCTCTCCTCTCAGCAGTGTCTGCTTCCTTTCTATCTTGAGTTAATTTGACTTTTTAGTATAATTTGTGTGTGTGCGTGTGTGTATTTTCCATCCTCCAAACCTATAGTTACCTATAGATGTTTTCTTCAGTATGTGGAAACTGATTGAGTGGGTCGAGGATGTTACCTGGCCATGTAAACTCCTTGGATGACTGCATGCGTCTGGCTGAGAACTATTCTACCAGGTGCTATGCCCTTGGAAGGCAGTGCCACTCCTATTCATCTTTGTTTCCTTCAAAAATATCTTGTAGCCACTGAATCTCCAGCTGAATTGAAATATACAGGTGGCTCATTCCTAGTGCGATCAAGAAATCTTGAATGACTGGTAGTGTGTAGCAACTGGTAGTTTAAAACTGTTAGTTGAAGTCTTTGTAGACAGTAGTTAATTTTTTAATCACTACCCTAAATGAGGTTTGGGAAAGCCACCATTTGCTTTTATTACTAGAGAAATAATTGTTTGACTGATTTGCAAGTAATTCCATAACTCGAGTCTCAGGATTGAAGCCAAATTTAAGTTGGTCTTGACACCTAGATACCAACAAATTATTTCTCTCTGCAGGTTTTGTGACATTTTTGATTATTGTTACTCTTCTCCAGGCCTCAGGTTATGCTATTGTAGCAGGGTGTGAAAATGGATTTTAGTTTCCAACTCAGCTTAGCTCCCAAGATGCTTGACGTGAGGGGTGACACAATTTGTAGGAGGTACAGAAGGGGGGAGGTCAAACACATGTTGTGTGACATTCTTAAAAAGGGTCTGGGTGACAGACTAAAAGAGGATTTTGGGGACCGTTACTGGAATAACTACCGTCTACAAATATTTATACTAAGTTTAAATTTTACATGAATATTGTTGACTACCAATTTAAGGCAAAGATGTTTATGCTTTAAAAATGGGAAGTTTTAAAAGTGTATGTGTGTACAAATACAGTTCTCTTCCCACTTAAGTGTGGCAAAAGTTGTAACTACTAAGCCCCATAGAGCCAGGTCACATTGCTTAGAGTACTCTTTTGGAGTGGATTCTCTCAAGTGTAGGAGATTCTTTATACTTTCAAAGTTTCTACTTCTCCACTTGGCTTTATATATCTGATCAGTAGTAATGAGTATACTGCTGTCAATACCCTTAGTTGGTTATGTTGTTTATAGTCTCTCCATCCTTACAATGTATTTTAAATGCCTTTTTTTCCCTAGTACCTCTTTTTTACATTCCCATTCACTTCGTTTATCACACTAAAACTCTACAGTATGTTAGTACATATATGGTTTAGCTTTCATTCCTGTTTCTTAAAAAGAAGTATTTATTAAAGATCCCTAAATATTAACTACCTTTAATGGGAGATGCCATTTTTCAATTCCAGGCAGCAAGTTTAATGCAGAATCCTCAAGTTCAACAGCTGTAAGTATACAGAAAGAGCATGCTACATTTTCCCCTTTCCACTTGCTAGTTGCTAATTTGAGCACATCAGCTCGAAGGTGGTAAAACTACCCTGACAGCTAGTCGACTGGCACTTAAAGTCACATTTAGCCTCATCTTCTACATTATGCAGGTATATTTAACTGACTTCCTTGGCCAGTATCCTCTTTGTTAATGAGACTACATGCCAATATAGTGATACACCTCTCGCTTACTCTAGAATGTCAGGAATGATGACAAATGCCATTGGGGGACCTGCTGCTGGAGTTGGGGGCCTAACTGACCTGTCTAGCCTCATCCAAGCGTAAGTGTTACTTAAAATAGAAACAGTAAAAATGTGTTTGCTTTACAGTTTGTTTCTAGTTAAAACAGAAATAGTAAAAAAAAAAAAAAAAAAAAAAAGTATTTTGTTTTAAAGTTTGTATCTGAAGTGAAGGGACCAGGGCTTTCTTTAATTTTTATCACTTACTCTTAGTATCAGTGGCCTCACTAGTTACTAAATTTAAAAGGAGTTCTTAAGTTGGAATTTTTAGACTGAAGGGTAGGAATCCAGATTTGGATTTAAGGAAGTTTTTCAACAGGTTTGAATAGCTACTCAAGGATGAAGATTAAAGTCAAGTAGCTACTTAAAATATGCATTAATTTAGCAACACATATATATTTAAAAATCACATATTACATATACCAGTGTGCAGATAATTTAGGAAACAGTTTTTTTTCAAACTTTCCAGTGCATTTCATCACTAAAAGAACTCCTTGCATCGTCTCATTACCTTCACTTCCAACCAAGGTGGTTAAGATAGTCTGTTTTTTGAATCTGTGTGATGCTGTTACTGAAAATTTTGTGCTGTTTGTGATCATGACCATGTAACCGCATTTGCAACATTGCATTTTTGGTGTGACCTTTAAGGAGCATAATTATAGCAGTTTGTAACATTCACAATTGAGGGTCACAAATCAGGAATTTGTATTAAATTTCCTTGTCCTTTTAAATATTAGTCCTGTTCAGTGACTTCTATACACATCCCCAACTGGGTGTGACATCTGTCATACGGGAGACTATTAAGACTTGACTATAAGAGCAAATACCTTGCATCACGTTAGAGCACATATAATCAAAGCATATACTTTTGAGCCCTTTGTTTATTCATGGTTAAGTACAAGAGGGGGTGGATTTCACCCAATTCAGAAACTTTTTAGCTTGGGTATTTCATTTTTCATTAAGACCAATGCCTTGTAGTAATGCTATATGGAGGCACTGGTAAATTTGCAGGTACTTTTCTAGAAAAAAATTTCCTTTGGGTAGTACCATATCCTTTGCAGTCCTTTTTTATGGGTATTGTGTGACTGGGAATTCCTTAATTCACACCACTTTGTCTCTTTACTTACAGAGGACAGCAGTTTGCTCAACAGATACAGCAACAGAATCCTGAACTTATAGAGCAACTGAGAAACCACATCCGGAGCAGATCATTCAGCAGCAGCACTGAAGACCATTCCTGACTTGACCAGGGCCCCTAGGATGCAAATGGTTATGGCTCTGAAGTGTTTGCTGTAGATAGTGGCCAAAAAACAGAAATACCTAAAGAATACATCTAACTAGACAATAGGTTTATCACAGAGTTGAACATAACATGACTCCTTTGTAAACAAATGGTCAGTAGCCTTGTTAAGTGCCAATATAGCACTGGACAGGGTTCCATTTTCAAGTCTTCATCATCATATTTGTATATTAGACTTAATAGCAGAGTATATTTCTTGACAGTAAGGCTGTTCATTGGTGAATTCTCTAGCTCCAAATTCTCTTTAGCAAACTATTTAAAAGGTAAAGTGACCAAAAGGAAAGGTTTCTCACCCTGGATTAGGAGAAACGTACTTGCCACTGAGCAGCATACCTGGACAGGAGTTTGCTATCTAGGTTTAGTCTTGATAGTGCTATCAGTAATGAATATGTATCATAGGGGCCAGTATTATCTTTAATGCTGCTTGTTCTAAAAGGCAGCAGAAAATCTTGAGCTGCTGGAAAGCAGATTTTGGTGGCAGGGTTGTTGTGCTGTGAGTGTATAAAAAGTGAAGGTAGGTACGATGCTCAGGTTTTTGCATAGTTCTTAACTAATCTTGCCCGCAGTTTGGTATTTATAAGATTAGCATGACCAATTACGCCACGTACATACTAAAATACATTTAGATATCCTTAATGGTACTGGTTAGGTCAGTTGTATAACTAATCAGTTTAACTAGCACAACTTCCCCGGTGGTGACGTTACCATGGAAACTCTCAAATATACCTACAATTAAATAAGCCAATGACTTAAGGATTTTCTAAGTGGCATTTAATTATGTGCCCATTAACACCGATTTTAAAAAAGAAACTCAGTAATTTTTTGATGGATTACAAAAAGCATCTGTCATTAACAATGCTTGTTCATGTAATCCTCTGCTGTGATTTGGTTTGGCATGTTGCTTTTATGCTTAACTTAATTTGATGCAACTTAAACATACTAGGGGACTTAAACTATTATATTGAAATTAGAACACATTAGTGGAGAGAAATGGCATTGTTAGGTATTAACGGCATGGCTCTAACTATAGTGATGGATGAGACTGTTCTAATCCTAACTAGAATTTCTTTGGTTTGGTAATTATGAAATAGGTAATGTTGGGCAGACACCTAATGATTTCACAAGTGTTATGAGAGAAAACTGAAGAAGTAATATTAACTTAATAATACTGATAATGATCAGGGCCTTATTATAACTATTTTTCTCAAAAGACTACATGTTATCTTTAAGTTTAAAAACCAACTTTTTCTTTCTTTTCCTTTCTGAAATCAGACCAGTGGTTCTATATGTAAGAGTTGCCTGGTGAATTTACTGGAAGTTCAGATTCAGGACCACACTTTCAATTTCTATTAAGTAGGTCTTTTAATAAGACCAAGGAAGCACTATTTGAAATAGACCAGCAAATACCTAAGCCCCTTGGGCTTAGGCTGAAACAAAGACCTCGATGAACCTATAGTTCTGTCCAAAAGAGCAGGACTTAAATCTTAGCACCTCTGAATTAAATCTCGTATTCCATCTAAACCAACTTAATTTTTCATAAATCCAACTCTTAGTGTTCAAGTGCTATACAGAAGGAAGTACAAATTACATGAAAGTGATGACATTGATGAAAAAAGCAAAGTTGATCCTTAATTAAAAATTAGTCACTTATCCGACGTTAAGTAAGAAAAAGTTTCTAGCATAACTATCTTGAGTGCATTAAAACTGCTTCCAGACTGATAAATTGGTAAGCCTCTAGTTCACTGACTAGGAAAATAGAAAAAATACAAATCCACAGTATCAGAAGTGAAGGAGGGAATATCAATGCAGGCCCTGGAGACATTAAAAGGATCACTAGAAAATATGACAGCCAACTCTAGATCCATATATTCAACAATATTAACTGAAATGAAAGAGACAAATTCCTTATAAGATACAAAGTACTACAGCTCACTGAAGAAACAGATATCCTTCAGAAAAGAAAGCCACATACAGTCCCAAATAATTTCAATGGGGAATTCTACCAAAAAAATTAAGGAAGAAATAATATCAATCTACACAATCTTACACGAAAATAGAAGAGGAGGGAACCCCTCACAACTCATTTAATATAACTATTATTCCGATTTCAAAATCAAAGACATTAGACATTATAAGCAAAATCCTTTAAAATGTCTTGATTTGCTAATATCTATAGTGAAGGTAGCCACTTTTTATAAGCATTAATAGGAATTGGTATATTTCTTCCTTTTTACTTCTTCAGATTGTTTCTTTGCTACTATTCTACCCCTCAAAAATTCAGTCTAAATTATATCTGTCCACTCATCTGGATTTTGAATTGGATTCAATTCAAGCCATTTTTGCTAAGTATCTTCATCACTTTGGAATCATTGCATTTCAAGAAAGTTTTGTGTAGTTAGATTGTGCTCGCTACTTGTAAAATTATATGCAATACCCCAAATATTATTCTTGCTTGTCTGAAACAGGGCATTAAGTAAAACTTTATATATATTCTACTTAGCAATGACTGACTTCCATTAACTGCATTTCATTGTAGTAGCTGTAGCTATTATAATGCTATGTAACCTTAAAATGTCTTTTATATGCAAATGACATTGTCATTTAATGTACCAAATTGTTTATATAATTTTTATAATATGGTTCAAACAGGTCCTTTCTGAGATTATCAAACCTTTATTTAGAGAATGAACAATGTGAGTCTAGGTTATTGCTTATAAAAAGACTTTGTAATTAAATCAAATTATATAGCAGATTCCAAGTGACCATTATATGTTACTTTTCAAATTTAAAAGAGAGTGAAACGGAAGGTTCAGTCATGAGAAGATTCTTGAAAAACAATGGAAGTACCCAGTGCAGTGGCTATAGAGTCTTATTCATCATTTAATCAATCTTACTCATTTTGGAAGACAGATGTTTTACACTGCTTGCACTTTATTTTCCACAGACATTTCATTAATTATTACTCCAAATCTCACTCTGAATTTAGCTTTCATTTTGGACCAATTTGTCATGGCAATAAATAATTATGCATTTGAAAAAAACCCAATTTTTGTATTTGACTTAATGTACTCTTACATTTAAGCAAGTATATATACATCCTTACATTTCAACTTACCAAAATAAGTTTTTATTTATCATCATAACCTTTTTTTCTGACAAAATACTGAAACTTTTATTATGTTCAGGTTGCAAAGTTGTTTACAATCTTAACTTTTTCACTGTTTTGTTCATGGCATAAATATGACTACATGCAGATATACAAAGTTTTATAATATTAGTACATGATTTAGAGTTCAAAATCAAGTATCAGAAACTGAAAATCCTTTGAAGATACCTATGAAAATAAGCGGCTTATTTTTTTTTTAATGGGAAAAATAAACAGGTCTTTTGGACTTAGGAAAGTATCAGGCCTCTTTGTTAAAAGTTAACAGAGTAATCAACAATCTAAGAAACAAAACCAATTCTGATCTGCTGTTAGTAAGTAAAACAGGCATGTGCAGGTTTGTATGTATACACAAACACAGATACACACCAGTAATTTTGAAAACAGGAAAAATTCATACTGTGTCAGCAAATGTAATGTTACTCGAGGATCATTCCACTTCTTTTAAACAACTCTTTAGTGGATTGAGGAGCTAGGAAGAAAGTGGGGTTAACTGAAATATTTCTAAATAAAGTATTATAAGAATTCTCAAGATTTGAGAAACAATTGTATTTCCTAGCTCAAGGTCAGCAAACTATGGCCTGCAGGCCATCTGCTGGTTTTTGTAAACACCAGTGGGCTCTTTATGCCCACTGCCATGTCTTGCACTACAATAGCAGTGTGGAGTATTTTCAATAGAAACCACATGGCCTGCAAAGCCTAAAATATTTAGTCCCAGGCCCTCTACATAAAAATTTTGCTGACCTCTGGTCTAGATACTTGCTAGGGACAAATGGCCTCAAATATAGAGTTTATTATTTTTTGACATTTAAAAAAAAATCCTCACCCAAGGACATTTTTTCATTGCTTCTAGAGAGATAGGAAGAGACAGAGGAAGGGAAAGTGAAAACAAGGATGCAAGAGAAAGAGAGGCATCGATTGGCTGCCTCCCATACATGCCTGGACTGGGGATAGTTTGTGCCTAGCCCCTGGACTGGGAATTGAACCCACAACCCAGGAACGTGCCCTGACTGGGAATCGAACCCTCAACCTTTTGGTTATGAGACAATGCTACAACCAACTGGGCCACACCAGCCAGGACAAATACAGAGTTTTTATAGAACAGATTCCTATGGTCATCTAAGTGAAACAAATAGGGTATGTGTAAAAAACATATAAATGTTCCTTTAGAATAAGATAAAATCAGTAGGTGGTCTTTTCAAAACAAATATTTAATATTTTAACTATTTTACAGGAAAGGAATTTAAATAAGATGTACTTATTTTTACTGTTGATCATTTTACAAAGGTGATTAAAAATACAGAAAGTTCTTTGAAAATCAATGAAAAGCATAACACTGGAAATTTTCTTCAGCTTTCCACTTTAACGGCCGAAGATACCACACAGACCTGTGCGATGTCATCATATTCATATGTTCTCTTTAAAAACGTGTCTGTTAGTCTTAAGCCGGAGACGCTCTATTGAGAGAAAGATATAGGCCTAAGTTTTCATTCGATGGTCATTATTAGAGAAAATATGGATACAGTGCATGACTATGGGTTAATAGTTCCCAAATGTTGAAATTACTGATAAGAGAACATACCTGCAGTCCCTGTACTGAAGACAGTAGAGTAAGGGCAAGACAGAGAGAGGAACTTGGATGTAGCTTTCCAAGCTGTCTTCCTGAAATGCCACACCAGTGGATAGAATTGGTATTGCACATTTCCAAAACCAGGTCCATAGTCCTTTCACTGCTGGGGAAATCAGAAAAATAGGAATAAATCTTGTTCCTTTCACAAGAGGTATGTGATATTCTTGCATTACTACTGGTGAATTTGTTTTCTGGGTGTTCAGGAGAATTAAAAACCAGAAACAAAAATTAAAATATATTATTTAAAAAATTTTTTAATTGAATTTATTGGGGTGATATCGGTTGATAAAATTACGTAGGTTTCGGGTGTACAATTCTTTAATAATCATCAGTATACTGCATTTGTATTCACCATCCCAAGTCAAGTCTCCTTCTATCACTATTTATCGCCCCTATTCCCTTCCTATCTCCCCCCACACTCCTTCCCCTCTGGGAAGCACCATACTGTTGTTTGTGTCTATGAGTTTTTTTCTTAATCCCTTCACCGTTGTCACCTAGCTGCGCAACCCACTCTCCCCTCTGCCAGTCTGTTCTTTATGAGTCTGTTTCTATTTTGTTAGTCTATTTTGTTCATTAGATTCCACACATGAGTGAAATCAGGTGGTACTTGTCTTTCTCTAACTGGCTTATTTCACTTAGCATAATACTCTCCAGATCCATCCGTGCAGTCACAAATGGTAAGATTTCCTTCTTTTTTTTACGGCTGAGTAGTATATCTATAAAGAACTCATAAAACTCAACACCAAAAAAAAAAAAAAAAAAAAA